CACACACATACACAACACGCAATACTAAAACCAATACACGGGGAGATATTATTGCCAATAAGGTACCCAATTAAAGATATTATTATATTAAGTGCATTTAATTACAAACGATTTTCAAGCGTACAATAATATAATTCGATGGTAAATACTCCTGTTCATTATTGTTCACACGGTGCCTACGTATATTAACATATTATACGAAACTGCCATACGAGTTCTATAGGTAATATGACTTATCTTAGATGTATACCTATATCACGAAAAACTTCGTAATCAGCACATTACTTCATAACTTGTGATGCCTATAGGTACTCTTTTTCACTCTCTCTCATCATATTCAACGAGAGCCTACATTTTTTTTAAGGAGCTGGGGGGCTAAACTGCTAGTTACGCCTATGTCTCTCACTAAGGGTCAAAAGTTATGAGTTTCAACAACAATATCTGTATTTAAAAATTCCAGAAGACATATAATATTGTACAAGATCAAGAATAAATAATAATATTATATAATATTTTGAATTTGTTATAACAGATTACCGTGTACACAAAACAAAACTCGTAAACACATTTTCACACGTAGAATAGACTAACATTTATATGATAGCAGGTATTTAACAATATTTTGAGTTAGGCATATATTAACATTCTAAATTTAAGACGCAGTTACTTTTATATATGAAAAAAAAAGTAAATATTTTTCTTTAATTATTTTAAAACAAAAATTAACTTTCAATAATAATTATAATTATAATTACTCAACATTTTTGCATTTGTAATAATTGAAATATTCAATAATAATATATAAATATACACAGCAAAATAAACTTGTATTTTAACTACGAAACAACGAAGGTTACTTTAAATAAGAACGCTCAACTCAAATATTTTTTTAACGAATGAGAAAAAATAACACATAGTTAATATACACACGCACGTATATAATAATATTTATAATAGTAATATAAACTTGTAGATTAATAATTATTTTAATTTATGGACTCACAATTTTGAAAATTCGAAAGATATTAATTTATAACTTTGTTAATTATATTTACAAAATATGGACAGACAATGGTTACAGGATAATAAAATCTTTTATTGCATTCTCTTATGAATTAATAAAATATAAATTTGTTTGGTTGTTCAAAACCATTTCAACTGGACTTAATTCGGGAACGCAAAATGGTAAAAAAATTGTGTGAGATATATAATGTATTTCTTAATTATATTTAATAGATAAATAAAAGTTCATGCTTTTTCGTCATTCAAATATACGATTAGAATTTACACGAAGCATCCAAAGTCTAGGTTTGAAATATTACTTATTACAAAATATTTTTTAAAATAAATAAGAGTGGTATAGAATTTGTACAATATCTGGAAAATAAAAATGAAAAAAAAAACCCAAAAATAAAAGGTTTTGAGTAAGTGGGTAATTATTTAATAATTTTTTTGCTTGTATTGATTGATTGATTAATTAAATAGAGTTTGGGTGATTAATTAACTTTTATAATTTTTTTTTGTCATACTTGATACACGTTTTAGTGTATTATATACCTACGTACCTATTATACAACATATATTATAACTGATAATTTTAATAAATAGTATTTTTAAATGTAAATTATACACATTTTATTACATAACTTGTTAGAGAGAGAACAAAAAAGTGTTTTTTTTATGAAAACGTTGACGGTTCAAATAAATTTTTAAAAAAATAACACTGACCAAAAGTAGGCATGTGCATGAATATAAATATAAGCAGATATACTATATATTGTGATTTATATTTTAAAAGAAGTTTTATTAAGGTTTAACTTAAAAGCATAGCTAATAAAAATAAATGTATTATTTTTATTTTCATAAACTGAAAATGTCTGTAGGCAGGTATATCATAGATGAACTATACAGTATTATGCTGTTTAACCACTTTACGTTATAAAAGAGGAAAGTTGAAACAAGTGTGTCTCTGATTAAATATTTAATTATTTCATACTAAACTTTTTGCATTTGTAAAAATAGGTCACCAAGTGCCAAATTAGGAAACGTTGAGTTTTTCTTTATTAATTATTTACGACAGTATAAGAAGTAACTTAACACGATAAAAAATAGTTTTTCCTTTTTTTTTTTTTTAACAAAATATGAATTTTTGTTTTGACTAGTACCAAAACTTCTGTTGTATTACAATAACAGAATTATATTAATATTCTACGCAGTTGTTTTTAGAAAAAATTTGTGTTTTTATTATAAAATTTCATTTTTATCGGATTCAGTGTTGTATTGTAAACTCCACTTGTTTGTTATGGGTAGTTATGACTGAAATACTCAAACAAAGTAGAATACCTATTATAATCTGGTTGCGGCGTGAAACCATTTTTCGGGATTAATATTTGTAATTATAATGTGTCTGTTTTCTGCACTATAATAATATTGTTCTGCCATCCCCCACCCCCGGGGCATGGCAGAAACCTACGGGTGCCCCATTCGAAATTCTGCCAAAAAACAAACACACACGTGTTCCCCCCTACCGTACCAAAAAATCTACAAACAATCAATACAAACCTACAAATCTACAATACCTACTAAAAAAGCTAATGGCCACAGTTGCCGGGCTCAGGAACAATAAAAAAAAAAAAAAAAATAATATTGTTAATATTTTTTTATGGACGCTGCAACGGTTTGGGTTGACGATGACGAGACTCGACAACAGTCTGAGATTTATTTAATTATTTGAGGAAAAGGTGCGTGCTGTCACACCTCACAGATCAACAACGAAATAGCGTTGTCGGATTTTAATATATTATAATAATAATAATACAAGATACAATATTATGGTCTTTTGCAATGCCATCAATAAAAATCGTGGGAAATAATCATTATGACTGTGCTATAGTGCTGAAGGAATTTTCGGTTTAGTTTCGAATTCACGCCATTGGTGACCACGCGGAACGTTTCTATTGGAATATTATTATTTTCTCTTACCCTGAACAGTAATAATATTATATATTGAGTAGGCATAACAATTTATGAACAAATAATAATATAGTCTCCAGTGGTCCAGTGTTTAGGTCTTTCAGGAGTTTCGCAGTGTCTGTCAGGACTTGGGAGTGTTTTGCTAATTTTTAAAAGATATATTATAAACCACCTGCACCTGCTCTCACCGAGAAGAACGATTTGCTCTCTACATATTATATATTGTTATATTTTATATAGTTTGTTTGAACAACAACTGCAATCGACTCGGACGACTTGTCTGTGCCTTTGCACCATCACCTCTTATTTCACAAGCCGCCAACCGTTTACATCCCCCTCTGTAGTCTGTCCAGTCCGGTGCAAATCGTCACTTTGATCTTCGGATAGAAAAATTAGCTAATTATAGGTTATATTTATATTTTGTTTTTGTTTTTATCATTCTACAGAACGATTTGTTCGGTTCGACACCCGTTGCCACCACTGCCTCCACTTCCTCCGTTGTTTTGGAGCAGAGCTATGGTGGCCGGATTCATGTAGTGCACTTCGGAAGCGTTGCTGTAGTTGTACATGTTCTGCTGGCCGAAAGCCGCGGTCGCCGTGGCCGTCTCGTTGCGCGACTGCTCGTACCGACGACGAAGGCATGGTGGACACCATGGAGGTGACTTGGGCCAGCAGCTCTGCAACGTCTTCTGGAATGCCACCCGGAACTCCCGGTTGAAGTACGCGTAGATCAGTGGGTTGAGAGCCGAGTTGAAGTAGCCCACCCAGAAAACGAGTACTGTCACCCACCGGGGCATCCACGAACCGCCTTCCAGCAGCGAGCTCATCATGTACCTGCATCAGTTGAATTCACGGGTAGATGAGTTATATGGTATTGATGGAAATGTTATCGAGTATACGATTTTATTGTAATAATTGATAATTGTTAAGTATTATGATTGTCATATAATACATATAACTGTATAAGAGGGAGAGGGGGAGTATCGCACTTTGAAAAGTAGATCCTGACAATGATGCCTGTTGAGACAACGTCTGAGATAGGCCCTGTTCCAAGCGAAACATGCGACTCTCATACACGGTATTTAACTTGACAAAAGTCAAAACGAACCATAATACACCATAATATTCCTCTTCTTCTTCGGTTAGGTTAAATTAAAGGCCATTGTAGCCAATTACCGCAACACAAACCTACTTCCACCTGACTGTATCTTGTGCTATTGACATTATATTATTAGGTCCCTGTATTATGTCAACTATGAATGTGCAAAATTTGAAAATAAATCTTTACTTTTTAGTACTTTTGATATTACCCGGGTTGGTTGGTAGGTATAGTGTTTTGTGTATTTGAAATTAATTATTAATCAAAATATTTAAATTATTATGTCTGTAAGAGGAGAATTAAAGTGTGATTTTCGTTATGAGAGAATATTAGCAGGCGTATTATTAACTTTGTATACCTACTCGTTTATTCGTAATCTATAGTATTATGAAATTATGTTATTGCGATATATTTTTAAAAGTCAATGCTAAATTTATATTCAAGCAATTATATGATACACATTTAGATATACGGGCAGATGTTAAATGTAGGAATATCAAATTATATCAAAAATACTTATTTAATGTTTCAAATGTTTGTACTCTTTTATAATAAAGAAACGGTAAGTTTATTCTACAGGAAATGTAATTGGGAAAGACTTTCGAAATCACTTAAACGGTATAACGAGTAGGTAAACTTAGTTCATCGATTTAATCTCGAAAATATACTCAACGTTCAAAGGCGATTATTTGAAATATTAAAATTTACAACAAGTGGACTTTTGAAACGTCAGTAGGTATTGTATTTTGTATTATTTATATTTACTACCTATAGTTGGCAAAACAATTCAAATATATTTTAAAATATTGCTGAAGTAGCAAATGGAAAGTAAACTGAAATGATTTTAATATTAATTCAATAACATAATTTATGAGGAAGAGAAGGGTGGGGAATAAATTATCTAATAAAATAAATGTCGATAGAATAACAATTATATAAGAGATTCTTATTTTTTTTTTACTGTTTTGTCGTCATGAAATATGTAGGAAATGTCCTTACTTCTTATAAGAAATGTGTTGCATACTACACAAGCCAAGACAAAAAATATTTTGTACACTTAGGATGCGACCAAACGAGGGAAATACGAGTGAAAGTGTGGTGGGCCACTATAACTTGAAAGTAAAAAACTCTACTCAAGTTTTAATGTATAAAAAAATAATAACACACCCACGCACATTATAATGATCGCGGTACTTGATAAATATTATAATCACATCCTAGCCGTTTTTTGCTCTTATTTTCCCCACTTGGTGACTTGGTAAAAAGAGACCAATAACAGAATCCAAGTATTAAAAGCCACGTATGTGAATATCAGACGTTATCTAAGTTATTACTCATCGTAAAATTCAAACATCAGCCTAACATAGCATCTTGTAGGTACTTACACAGTGTTCCAACAGTAGGGGATTTGTAATGGAAAATGCGGTTTGTGGGGCTACGATAACCTTTAGAACAACTATTATTATTATTAATGATGGCTTTATATCTAATATCTACGTTTTTATACCTTTTTCATTCATGCAGCGGAAACATAACGTCACTTCAGAGTTTAGAGTAGTGTCATGCAGGTATGTAGAGAACGGGTTTTGAGCATTTAACAAGGAGGTAGATAATATAAATTGTTATCAGCATAAGACTGACACGTCTGATAAATCAAAACTTAAATTATAAATATACCTAAGCTTGCTGGGAATAACCTTAATATAATATACTATATACTAGGTATATTATAAAGCACTGTTTTATGTAGTTGGTCTTAAACACCTGGAAATGATTTTATCATGCAATTTTTTTAATTAAAATCCCCTCGTTTTTCTTTAAGACGTTTTCAAAAACCGTATTACCGTCGAATGCGTTTGTTTTTAAAGTATTACAAGTAATGTTCATGTATAGGAGGTAGGCGAATAAATAAATAAACTTAAAAAAACAAAGAAAAAGTCTGGATTTTTCATTTGGTTGACTTGCTTTAATAATATAGATAACTGTACCGCCAGCGTAAGGGTCAGGTTATTAATGTTAATGTCAAGAGTGTTATCTAGAGGGTACATAAAATAAATGGTACACTACTAATCGGCTGTTTAACTTTTAACTAGTAGCTAAAGTTTACATTTGTGATCGATAAGAATTTAGAGAAAGCTATGTTGTATATTATGTAATGCAAGACACAAAACATTTTACTTCGTCTTTACATCTTATATTATATATTTTTGTTTTTAATGGCCAACTTTTGAGAAATAGACATGGCAAAAAATGAAAAATCCATTTGGAAATATTAATCTACATCATTATGTGTTTTGTTTGTAAATGATGTATGGAGGGGGTAAATAAAAATAGGATACTGGAAAATTGTGTTTCTACTTAAGTGTATATTTTATGAGATGGTTGATGTTTTTTAGCCGTATAGTTTTACCGATGTTGGCCTAGAACAAGTTGTCAATAACGAGTGTACGCGCATTGATGTTAAACAAATTCGATAGCAAGTTCATTGAGGTGAAACGACGAATCAACATTGAACACGGTAAATCGTTTTTGCAGTGATGTGCAGTGATGAAGGTAAACAGCAGAGGTGACTAAAAAAACATACTCGAAAAATCGATAACATTTATTTTTTAAAATTAACTGAATAGGTACGTGTGACATGTTACGTTGTAAATAGCAGGCCCATATTGATTTTTCGATATCTAATTTTTTTTTTACCCGAATAATTATTTTATAGTTGAAAAACTAACAAGCTTCAACGCTATAAATTAGATATTTTCCTCAAGTAGGTATATCAGCACAGAATAAGTTAATTGCATACATTTTCATGTTGTAGAGAAGACGGGAGTATACTATGAAATAAGCATCCACCTTAAAACAGTCAGCCGTTTTTTGGGTAAACTGATCTCCTCTCAGAATGATTTTTGAATTAAATAATTCATCATTGCTTCACAGTTTATAATATCCATTTCAGTGGTTAGAGAAATAGGATTACGAGCAAATAGATTAAATTCTAGAAAACTGAAGGAGAATATCAAATGGCCCTTAAATAGTTAGTATGTAGATATGTATATTATGTTAACGCAAAATAAAAAAATTTTTCATTGATTCGACATTGATACCATATACGCAATGAAAATAATACTATAAACAAAGTGGCACCTAATAAATGTATTATACGGTGATTGAAAAAATGTATATTGATTTCTCGGCATACCTACCTATACTCGGATATTTCACACTCTATTTACATTATAATATGATATATATTTTTTATACTAGTCGAAACTTTTGTTAAAATACGGTTCTGAAGCTTTTGTACTTAAAAATATCCGTTTATAATATTTTTGACGAGGTAGACTTAAAAAGAGATGTCTAGGGTTTAACGAAATTAATATGCAGATAATATCACATTATTATGTGGAGTGGCGTGTGAGGTATGATGGTGTTCGGTGTGATGAGAGATGGGTCGGGTGGCCAACTTAATATGGCTGCAGCGAGGGAGGCGATGAAGGATATAATATTTTTTGACGTGGGATCTGAAACTCAGATGCTGTATTTCAATAGTTTTTGCATAAAAAAGTGCTTCGAGTGTTCTGAACTAATCGAGATGAAATTTTATATTTTAAAAATAAGAGGCTTAAGTTACATTACCTTTAGCTATTATAATAAAGTGGAGGCACATATACATGTCCAAGTTTGAATACTGATAAAACCATATTATTGAAGTTTTATATGTATTTCTCGTAATTATAAGATACCTAGTAAATAATATTATTTATGTCATAGCACTGATACATAAAAAAACCCCATTATAATGGAAAATATGGTATGGTCAATACTATATTAGCGTATACCTACACAACTTTTTTCATTAATTTCGCTCTGGTAGCACGCACGTATACATAACAAATTTTTTTATGGATGTTCAATGAATTTTGTTGTTAGTTGTTGCGCTTACGAGTGAAAACTGTTTCATCGTAACTATGTATCGCCGTCTCCCGCAGTGTGAAATATATAACCAATATCGGAAACACCTGCCCGGACTTGTAATATTAAATAATTTTTTTTTAGTGCTGAAAAAAATTCGCAGATTCACCCGATGGTTCCCGAAAGCACGAAAGACATACACGTCAAGTATACCGGTTGGTACAAGCGTTATTATTAAATGAAAAAAATAAAGAAAAAACATTTTTAAAAAAACTCCGGAACAAAGCAAAAGAGGTACGGTTTTATGTGACAAAATATGTACCTATGTATTATATCATGTATATTGTATATATTATATTATACAACACATAATATCAAATTATAATATTCACCATGTAAAAAAAGGTAGCCAACAAGCCAAGAACGCGGACATAATTATGCCCAAGGTACGGGCCGCTTTCCGCTCTCGTTTCATTTTGTTACTCGAGGCCGCTGGTCGAAAAGCCCCCGAGTCCGGATCCGTTTCTACGTCGACGTCCTTCACAGCGTCCGATGTCGACAGTGCTCCGAGTGCGCTTATGCCGTTGATTTGTAGGTGCTTGTTGAGTAACGCGGCGGCCACTTTGCTTCTGGAAAAGCCAAGAAAAAAAAAAACAAAAAATAAATGACACCATCGCAAAATTCGTTTGGGACCAGTAGCCAGGATTTCGTTTTTACTTTGGGGAGGGGAGGGGAAGCCAATCGTTTGTTGAACAGGCAAGGGTTAACTATGTATCCCTAATAATATTTTGGTATAATATGCTGATGCCGCAGGTATATAACATAGAAACATATTCATACTATATGAATTATAATTTTAATTCACAATCACGTTTTAAGTAATGCGTTCGTAGAACATTGAACACATTTAAAAATTCTCCTGAAGTTTTGGGTTGGGCTTCGCTTTATAAACAGGATACCTTGTGTGGTGTTATCGATGAAATGTAATAGAAAAATACAGTATTATTGTTACGATACTCTAACCACACAAAAATCGTTTTGTCGGGCGTAACGCGTTTGCAGACCAAATTGTAAAAGAAAAAAAAAATATATTTTTTAAAGAGTTTTATGCCTGTTGGCTGTTTCGTCAAAGTGATTGGACAAATCGACATAGAAACGTGTTGACGTCGTGGCGTTATCGAGATGAATGACGTCAAAATGAGTTCTTAAGTGTAACGGGGACAAATTATATTCAGTGTTAGTACTATCGTATTGAAAAGGTTCGCTTTAATGTTTTCTAGACCCTCTTGATTGCCCATATATTAATCTAAAACGGGTAGGTAACGAACATGATGTTAAATTAGTTTACGGTTTTAGGAATTTAAATTTTCCGTTCTACTTGATTCATGTACCAGCACAGTTGATGTAAATTAGAAAATTGGGAAGAATCTAAAAATACTATCTTATAAATCTTTACATTTAATACCACCTGAATAAACTAACACACTGAAAATAAATAGTTTATTAAAAACCCAATGGTTCAAATTATTATTATTAACTGTCTTACCGCAACCAACCTTCGTTGTATATTTTTCGATTAATCAAGCTAAATTAATACATCTATATTGTACATACTATATGGAACGATATTATATAATATTATAATATTTTTAATAATGAGTAGATAATTATTGTTTAATCATAAGTATATACATATTTTATTTATGTATTGTGTATCCTTTTTAACCTGAATGCATACATCTTATACCGAATGAAGTGAACTATTAATGCTATATTTAAAAAAACGATTTACTTCATTTATTTATTTATGAAAGGAATTCAACTAATTTATGTATGTAGTATAACACGCAGTACTCCACGTTCACCAATAGATACCTTTTATTTTTGAGATTTAGATTGAAGAAGTAAAAATTATGATCGGTAATACATAAAAAACTCTGTAAAATATTTAAAATGTACATTTTTTAAATTACACGCACGGAAGGCGTATCATGAAAATAAGGTTTATGTTTTCGTACATAGAGTACTATGTTAGTTCAAGATTAAGTATCTGGAAACTTCTTCATAGATGTTGATGTATCCATATGGTATTTATCTATTCATAAGAAAACTGTCCTTATTTATTTATTGGGTTTTAAGTCTTGCTATTAATAATTGTACTGACAATTTATGATGTTGTATTTTTTTAAGTTTGAAGTCTTTATTTTTTGATATCAAGCATATTAACTGAATTATTAAAATAACGTTTGTATGTATATGTATCTTCACTATAAATACAACTTAATTAAGCAACCACCTATAATTTATTAATAATATTATTTTATCGATATTTATTTTGCAGTATACGAAAAATAGTGAATTAACATAGTTTGCATTTAAATTATTGTTTTTAATTAAGTTAAAATAAACAAAATAATGATGGTAAGTAAATTAATTTTGAAAATATTTTTGTAATTATAAACTACAGTATATTATATACTTGTACCTATATACTTATATTTGTCAGTAAATATCTTGAACATTCAAATATACAGTTTAGTATAGCTCAAGCAAAAGATATAGTTATTTATGAAATATACACAAATGATTTTCTTTTGTGTCAGATATTCTTTTCCAACATAATTTTATTGTGAGGAAAAACTCCGTACTTCTGTCCTTCAAAAGAAAAAGGAAAAAATCCATATTATTTTATCCTGTGCAAATTATTTTCTCTGTCTACTTTTTGTTCTATTTCTTCGAGTGTAACAAAAGTGTAGTTAAGTTGTATTTGATGAAAAAATATTTAAAAAAGTATAATATCAATGTATTATGAGTATTAATACTGAGATTTCAAACACTCTTTAGCAACACGGCAAAAAAAATCTGTTTGACTTGGTCTGTATGAAAGAGTAGGTACCTAGTTGAGGTTATGATATATTTAAAAAAAAAATAATTTTACAATTTATTTGTTGAGATAACAATATTGTGTCAGTTATTCTTATTATTCTTATACAATTATGATTGTTACGTATTACAATTTAAAAATGTATATTTATAAACAGCTCCGTTAAATATTTATTATTTTCTTCCATACATTCATATATTAGGCATCTACGTTAGGTTAAATCAATCTCAAAAAAAGGAAAAAATTGATTTTCCACTTTATTATTTAGGTATAGATTATGATGATAGTTATTATTTCAATTTTGTAAAAATATAACGCTTGTTGAAGTGGCATGCCCAAAACAGTGCCCTACTTAATGTGTAAAGTACCCTCCACTAATCAATTTTATTTGGCATTCGTCCGTAAAATATTCCTCGTACGTAATATGAATTAAAATAATTCCTAAAAAATATCTAACTTATTTTACCCTACATGGAATATATTTTTAAAAACTCATATTTTCTGTTGTTTTAAAGTAATATGATTTCTGATATTTTTTAAATGAATAAATAATTGTCCTTAAAATCTTTATAAATGTAAACAATTTGATTGTGATCAATTTCCAATTATTTTCTAATTAAAAAAAATATAAATACATCTAAATTGATTATGTTAACAAACAATTTAACGTGTTTTATAAAAACACCTTTATCACCAAGTTTCTATAGATTATGTTTTGAAACAAAAATATTTAAACATAGTTTGAATATTGACTTGATAACTCACAAAAATAATATTTAACGTTAATCAATATTCAATGTATTGGAGGACAAATATTTAGAAATACCTTCCTAGTACCTATATACCTACGTAGGTATATGCAATTAGTCAACACTAGAACTTTCATGCATAAAAAAAATAATCTTTAAACAAACATATATAAAATGAAATGAAAACATCAATACATATTTATATAATATCATAAAATATAGAAGGAGATTGGTTATTGTAACAACAATGCTTCCAATCAAGGCTGAATACATGTAAATGCAGACCAGGCAAAAAATATGATTAGGGCGTTTATACCCTGTTGAATTAAATTTTTCTGCTCTTTTCAATACTTTTGAAAATAAAATAATTGTCTCAAATAGTATAATAGTACAATAGTGTGTAGCCAATGTATTATCTATTAATTTATAATATTATAATATAGCGTTTTCTGATTTTTCGATAACCTTATAATATTTTACGTCAAACGTCACAAATTCAATACATTTTTTTCATGCTATTCTATAGTAACCACAGGATTTAAACTGTAATTAAACTTGTTTTAAATATTTTCACGCAACACAAATTTAATATTTATGGTGAATATTGTATAACAAAAATTGTAATTTTGTTTTAATATCGGTTTTGAAAAGAAAGATCATTGCATAATATTGATTTTTAAGAGTTCAGTATCAAATCGATAAATGTATATAAACCAGCATAAAGTTGTTCAAATTATTTTTCCATCTACCTATATACAATTCAAATACCACTCATTCATAGATACGTCTCAAAAATTACAAAACGTACGAACTTGAAATTTTCAATAGTGGTTCCTTTAATGATCCAGACGTACAATAAGAAAGGATTTTCCGATATTCACATTTTAAAGACGTGGTCAAACAGGGATCTTAAGATTTATGGTGAAAATCGAAATATTGTTTGTACAATTGTATTGAAATTTACTTATAAATAGTTGACATCGGCTGCAGATTATAACAGCAATAGTAGAAATAAGTATTATTTTTTTTATATATAAAAATGGCTGAAATTGGTGACTGGTTACTCGGGCAGATCGCGTACAAGCATGCATCAAATCGTCACACTTGTGGCTCGAATAAAGAAACTATATCTTAAAATTAAATGTACGTGTGTAACTTAAACACTCAAAAACTACTCAATTGAATTTGACGAAAATCTCAGATGGTTTTTAGAAATGTCGAAAAAGCTTAAAGAGTAAGTAGTTTAAACCACGTTAAAAAATAAACCATATGCTAAATCCAATCTAAGACTTGTGGTTGCCCATCTAGGTCGAATTATTTCACAAAGCTAGGTACATTAACACCGCTTTGTCCGTGAACTGAGGTGCACTAAAACTGAAATACACTCAAACCTTGTTACACCTATATAACGTATATACTATATAGGATTTGCCACAAAAAACTGTACACCAGCGAATCTAGGATATTCAGCTAGTGTAATATATAATTTATGAGAATAAAATAGTATCAAATGAAAAACTATACTTTATCATCAGGATTGTAATATGCATATTAGAATTTGATACAATATTTAATTTCATAGTTCAAATGATTATTTAGCTGTAATACTATTTATAATTTTATTCAGAATACTTTTGAATAATTTTCAATTTTTTAAGAAATAATGAACGCACAATTATAACGTTTTTTTCTAAAATAATATGACTACAATGACGGTTGAATTTAGAATTATTTCATAAGTTTATTAAATACTATTATTTTCTCAGGATTTTTTAATAAAATTGATGTTCAAACAGTTTTATTTTTTGATATTTAAAATGTGTTTTATAAATTTATAAAGTAATTAGTAATCAAGTAAGCATAATGTATAAGTATTATATACATTTTAAGTACATATCTAATATAAAATTAATTGTTGTCTTTACTGCCACTTAAACATCAAAATAAATGATATAATAAATAATCATTCATACAATTTATCAACTTGTTAATTATT